AAAAAAAAAAAAAAAAAAAAAAAAAACTTTTAAAAGGAAAAATAAAGCTGCTTAAACTACATTTCTTCAGTAAAAATCGCATATACTCGAAGATTTTAAACTTAAGTGCGCCACTCATTCCTGTCGCTTGAAGAAAACTGCGACTTCTAAGACAAAAACAAAAACTATACAGGAACCGTTCAAAAAACTACCACTAATAGGTGAAAAAGAACTGCACTTGAAAAAAAAAAAATACAACATTACCGAAAGCTGATGTGGCCGGCGAACTTCCAAATGCTCCAAAACCGGAAGTTGCAGGTTTGGCACCAAAAAGATTCGTAGAAGGGGCAGATGAAGCAGGTTGTGAGAAACCAAACCCAGAAGTCGCAGGCTGTGTTTGTCCAAACGGTGTAGAGGTTGTCTTAAAAAGAGTTGAAAAGTACATCACCAACTTTAATTATTACTGCGGTTGCACTTCATTAAAAAACAGCGAACTAATCTACAGAAAAACGGCTAGAAAAAGTTTGTTAAAATTACTAACAGAAGTTGTTCCGAACGAAAATGGACCAGATGTTGAAGCCGTCGTTCCAAATGTCGAAGTTGCACCAAATAATGAAGTCTGTTGAGTACCAAAACCCTGATTTTAAAAATAACAACTAACCTACCAATGATTTTACCACAAATTATAACGTTACTACCATTAAAAAATCTTGTTCTCTTCATAAAAATGATAAGCAATCAGTAGTTTTGAACAAGAGACTGAAAATTACAGGTTTCGACCCAAATAGCCCTGTTCCAGTTTGCTGTGTCTGTCCAAATGGTGAGGCAGTTGAAGTAGCAGTAGATCCAAAAAGACCGGTTTTTTTCGGCCCAAATATCGAGTTCCCCGTGCTTTGTTGCGAGCCAAATAATGAGGTTGACGTAGCAGTATTCCCAAAACCGGAAGACGCTGAAGAGGTGAAACCATAAATTTGTATGATTAGAAAGGAAAAGAATAAAAGCAATATTATGATAAATGTCCGCCTTATAAACAATGTAATAGCAGATAAGTGGTGGCGAAATGCTACTTAAAAATGGTACTCGACTTACCATTGCCAAATAAAGATTTACTTTGGCCAAAAAGTGACGACTGCGTGGTCGTCGTAGATGACGAGAACAACCCGGAAGTTGACGGTTGACTCGCTTGTCCAAAAGCCAAACTTCCAGACGACTGCGGTCCCTTCCGGTTAGCTATGTAATCCTCACATCTTAATTCCTAAAAATGCGACATCTCAAAATTTATTATTTCTAAAATTCCAACAATACCAATAAGATCTCAAGCTCCTGAAAAAATATAAGGAATCTTTATGGAAAGTGAATACGTAAGCAACAAGAAGTCGCATTTTTTAAACAACCAGATACAAAATGTAAATTTCAAAAAGAAAATTAAAGCCCAGCCCACCTCAATACTCTTGCCTTCATACTGTTTCATAGCAACTACGCACATATGCTTTGTATTGATTGTTTGATTAGTACCATTCCTTATCATAGTATCAGTTCCTGTAGGAGGTTCAAACTTCACAGTGGTACCGGTGGCAGTTGAAGCTAAAAAAATTATAAAATTATGAACTCCTCCTTTCACTTGCAATACTGTTTTAAGTAACATAACTAGCCCTTGATATTGCAATATAAATTATCATAATTGACCAACTTACCTCCAAAGCTCCCTCCAAAAAGTCCGCCAGACTGTGTGGAAGTCTGTGTTCCAGAAAAAAGAGAACTTGAAGTGCCGAATCCGGAAGGCTGCGTCGTTGCAGAACCAAAAAGAGATTTTGACTGCCCAAACAGAGAAGATGAGGAAGTTGCAGCAGGCTGACTGCTTCCTACAAAACCAAATTGCACAAAATGAAAAAGCGTTTAACAATCAAAAATAATTGTTTGAAACGTTCCGAAAAAGCGCAACAATTTCGAAAATAATATCATTAAAAAGCAGCAAACGTTTTAGAAGTTTAGGGTTCATTCCTACCTCCAGTAAAATAAAGAATTAGACAATCAATGATTGCGCAATCGATAAAGTTAGGTGGGAAAGTTCAGAATCCTACAGTAATAAAATTACCGAACAAAGAGGTCTGTTGTGGAGTTGAAGAACCAAAAAGCGATTTCTGTCCAAAAATACTGCCAGTCTGTGTCATCTGCTGATTAGAAAATCCGACAGCAGGTTTTGTTGGAGTTCCAAAAAGTGAACTGCCTGTTAAAGTTTTTTTATTATTAATTATCACACCAGGACAACAATTTTAAAAAACGTTTCTGCGAAACAGGCTTCAATATACTAAGAATAGAAGACTGACTAAAGTAAAGTAGAGTAAGAACAAACTTCCAAATGCAGATGATGTCGTTCCAAACGCCGGTTTGCCAAACATCTTTTTTGAAATACTTCTTAATAAAAAACTAAAAAGACGCAGATATTCTCACAAGCCAAGTCCAGATAAGAATCAAACGGTGCCACAAGGTAGACAGATACAAACCCCCTCTGTCCAAAAGCTAAAAAACCTGAATAAATCTCGTAAAACTGATGGAGGCATATAAAAAAGTAACATCTCTAGTAACTGTAGAAAAAATCAGGAAATAAACAGTACAAAAACGATACTCGCCAATACGATTTTGAAAAAAAAAAGTTCGCAAACAAAAAGGTCCCTCTACTGCAGAAAAGTTACATACTCCATATGGGAATAACGAACAGGCTAGTACTTTTGCACCAAAAAATCCAGTACTTATCCGCCGGCTTCACTATGGAATAATGCGCGGTTGGGTTAACGCCAAGGGATTTTCCAAAAATTTCGAATTAATCTGCCGACACTTACAGAAACACTAATTTGAAAATGCAAAAAGTGGGTAACAAAAGAGCAATCCCACCGGGTAAAATTGCTACAGCTACCAAATAAACTTATATAAGTGAAAAATCATTGTAAAGCCAAAACTCCTAGCATATCCCTTTTTTTTCCTTCCCAATCACTGGCTGATAACACTTCACAAATTTCGGCTATAATACAAGATATAAAATCATTAACAACCAGGAAATAACTTCTTCACAAATAACACTACAATTTACTGCTTCAAAAATTAAAGCGTAATTATGTCTGCAAAAGATAGCCGTCTGTTCGTGATAACAGCAAAATTGAAAACTATGTACGCTTTCCGAACTGTAATATTCAACTAAAAATTGTAATTTAATGAAAAAGTTGCAACAAGTATGTAAAAGAGTTTTTAGGTCTCAAAATCTTCGAAAAATTTTTAAAACAGTTCAATTTACCTAATCCAGCTCACTTTCTAATTATACTTAGATATCAGAAAGTATGCTCGACGAAACTATGCCAAGTAATAGGACTGAGGAGAAATACTACGAAAAAAGTTTCTCCCGGAATCAGAAGTCTGCTGTAACATCTTCAATTACCAATTCAACAGTAAGCATAATCAGAAATACTGTTAATGATATACAGAAAGAGGCTAAGAATTTCAACAAAACAGGCGGTAAATATAGGCAACGGCTGCAGCGAGAGCAGCCACTACTAACACCACCAACCAATCACGAGCATTGACATATGCTCCAACCAGGATAATAGAACGAAAAACAA